GTGTAAGTTAGGATATCTGGATATCAAAAAAAAATTAGTGTTTTGAATTTCTTTTTTGGAGAGTGTGTGATTAAAAAATATGAAATTTTTTGGAATTTACATGAAAAATATTTTATTGTATAACGTCATTGAAAATGAGTATGAAAATTTCAAAATAATGATTTGACTTTATATATTTCACGGCTCTTTGAACCAATTTCCAACTGTAATACATAATGATCGTAGTTATAGCAGTCATGCTAAAGAAAAGGAGAAATTTTCCTTTTTTTTTTTTTATGTTTATATTTATTCGATGCGATAAAATGAAAATATATGGACTGGAGTATATGTTGTTTGAGATATTAGGTTTGGGCCACAAGTCTGGTTCACATCTCGTACAAGATAATTTGAGCCCAAAATATGTTTAGTTGATAAAACTGAAACATGAAAAGAAATTTTATAAAAATATATTCTGAAAGAAAATGGATTAGTGACCTCTGAGTTCTAATTAATTTATTAATCTTCGGCAAATGTTACACTTCTATAATACTCCCTACGTCCCAATTATATAGGCTTGTTTCGCTTTTCTCATGGATTAAGAATGATTCTTTAATGTCATTGGAAAATTAATTTTTGTCAGTATCTTTCCTAGTTTACCCCTATTTAATTTTCAGTATGTAAAACTAAATTATTGTTGGAATTAATAAAGAATTTAAAGAAAAAGAAGAAATGTGAGTTATTCCATATTTTCAAGAAGTGTGAAATGTGTGTATTTGGATGATTTCAAGAAGTTGGTATATTAAGCTCCTGTTTGGTACACATTATTTTTTTCATTCTCATTTTTCTACTCATTTTCAACCACATATTTTTCAATAAAATAATAAATTTCATCACATCAATAACTTTTCTTTCATTTTTAATCACATATTCTTTATCAATCTACTATTAAATAATACATTCTTTCAAAAGAATGTCTCAAACACACTGTAAGTGGAGAAAATTTAATAAGGGTATATTAGTAAAAAAACACAACAAAATATTTCACATTAAGAAACATGTATGTATATTTGTGACAAGAGAAAAATAAAATTCAGCCTATATAATTGGAACGGATGGAGTACAATTTTTGGAACGACAAAACATGTAACACAACTTTCGTCCAATTATGTACCTCCATGCACTTATATGGACTATTTATATCAATGAAATAGTTTGCTTTAATATTTTAAATGTGAATTTTAATTCGAAAAGAAAAATCGTAATTGTAATTAATTATTAATTGAGAGTTACCATAAAGTTCGTCTTTATCTTTTATGACTCTAAATGGGAGTTTCAACCTTCATCCACGAAATCAAAAGGGTACAGCTAATCATAAAATACTCTCTTCAACTAATAATAATAATAATAATAATAATAATAATAATAATAATAAAAATAAATTATTACGTGATATGGAAAATGAAATCTTATTTTTTATGTTTTGTTTTAAATATTAGTTTGACAGATGGGAGTATACGAGAAATTTCAAAATAAGTTTTAACACCTATCCAAATATTCTTACATTACAAAATGAAACAAACTTCAAATTACCAACCAAAATACAAACAACGAAAATTATTAACTTATAAGCATATGATTTGAAGAGGGATTTGTTTGGTTGAGTGAACATTGTATTTTTGAGAGAATAATATATTTAAAAAAAAAGATTCGCTAACATTTGCAATTAAATATTAAAGTACCGACATGACAATATAGATAAAGAAAAGTAATTAGATATTGATAGTAATTTTTTAAAATTGTGTAAGGCATGTATTTAGAATGTGATGAATATATAAAATTTGTTTGAGTTTATAATGTTTAAATGAATGAAATTAATAAGGACAATATTGAAATTTGACGAAAATATTAATGTTTTAAAATTTTAATAAAGATGAATATAGAGTGAGATGAATATATAAAAAAATGTTGTCGTAAGCAGCGGTATCCAAACAAAATTTATAAGGAAAAAAAAACTCAAATAAATGACCTTTGTCTTGTCTTTCTTGTCTCTATGACCTACGTACATACATGTGTTTTCTTGAACGTTCAAAAATCAAAACATAGGCTTTTTGCACAGATAATCACCCAAATGCACAAAGTACAAACACATGAAATCGAAATCCATGAGCAACCCATCACGCAATCCCTAATTTCATACAGAAGCAGAATTTCTTTCTGGAGAAAAATTGATTCTCTGTTTTTTTATATATATATATTTTTGTGTTTTAAATTGAAACTAATGATTTTGGTTTCTTTACTGGCAAAAAGTACAATTTCCCTTCTGCAGACCCCACAAAACCCAACACCACACGTCCTCTTTCTGTGACAATTTGACAAAAAGATATTTTTTATTCTCACTGTATGATCAGAGCAAAGTATCCTGCCTCTTGCTCTTTAGGGTTCATTTTAGGGCTTTTTTTTTTCTGTTCAATCGACTCAAAAAGTATTGTTTTACTTTATTCCAATCTTGATTGGGATTTTTGTTTAAAGATGGAAACCTCTTTTGGAAGAAATCGAAGTTTTGTTATTTGAAAATCCAAATACCATTCCGAGGGCTCACTTCTTCGGGGATGAATTGAACTGTAAATAATCAAAATGTTCGATTCGAAGAGAAGCCATTTCGCAATTTCTTCAATAATTGAATTTCAGTGTAGGGCAGGGTCTTGTTAACCCCAAAGTTTCTTTCAGAACTTGTGTCAAACATCTTGCGTGTCTTCAAATTGGATGCGAAAATGGGTTGTGTTTATGGGAAGTGCTGTGGCAGATTTCGACGATCCTCAGGTGGTGATAATAAGGAAGAATTGTTTGTATATCCTGGTCAGAGCACGCATATACTTGCTAACAGGTTGTTAGAGATCGTGAATGTTCCTTCACACAATTTCAGGTTAGAGTATTCTGTTCTTACACAGCGTGGTCATTACCCGGAAACCCCGGGAAAGGAAAATCAAGATAGTTATTGTATCAGAACAAATATTCAGGGTAACCCCGATGTTCATTTCTTCGGCGTGTTTGATGGGCATGGACAGTTTGGAACCGAGTGTTCGAATTTTGTTAAGGATAGGCTTGACGATATTTTATCAAACGATGCTGCATTACTAGATGATCCTGTTAAGGCTTATAGTGCTGCATTTTTGGCAGCAAATGATGAACTTCACAATAGTGATATTGATGATTCCATGAGTGGCACTACGGCTATAACAGTTCTCGTGATTGGGGATAAGCTTTATGTTGCAAATGTTGGTGACTCCAGAGCAGTGTTAGCTGTCAAGGAAGGGAATAAAGTTCTTGCTCAAGATTTATCTTGTGACCAGACGCCATTCAGGGCAGATGAATGCCAGAGAGTGAAGCTTTGTGGGGCTAGGGTTCTGAGTGTTGATCAAGTGGAAGGGCTTAAGGATCCCGGAATACAGTCTTGGGGAGATGAGGAAACCGAGGGTGATGATCCACCAAGGTTGTGGTTTCAGGATGAGATGTGTCCAGGAACTGCATTTACACGGAGTGTTGGGGATAGACTGGCAGAGAAGATTGGAGTGGTTGCTGATCCAGAAGTGTCCATAGTACAGCTTACAGCTAAGCATCCATTCTTTGTTGTTGCGAGTGATGGGGTGTTTGACTTCCTACCGAGCCAAACTGTAGTGGACATGGTACATTATACCTCTAATGCTGTCAGAAATATTTCAATCATTGTCCTTGTTCATTTAAACCTTCATCATCAACGTTTTGGAAGCTTATGCATATATTAAGCTGCTTTTGTTTGGCTCGCTGTTAGGGTTGCTTTTATCTATAATTGATGTTCATGCATATGAATAACTAGACACGGTTAGACGTGCATTGCATGCTGTTTTTAAATTTTTACAAGTGTATCTGTAATCATATAGTCTATTATTGTTTTGGATAAAAAAAAAAGGTTAATCGCATGAGAAACACATAAAAGAGCAATGTGGGTGATAAAACCTCTTGATTATGCAGTGTAGACTTCCTTCTTCCTCACCTACAAATGGCCTTCAAAGGTAAACAATCGAAATCAGT